ACTTTCAGGTATCTCAAAAGTACTTCCAGAGTATGTTTACAATTTGGAAATGACAAAACAATGCTTAGTGGGTTTACAGATGCATATATGGCTGGTGATGTTTGTCGGGTTTAGTGCCATGAGCTCGTGAGTTTGTAATTTGTAAACATTTTATTTATTATTAATAAAAGTTATTATATTACTTCTTTGCATTACTTGTATTCCAATAAACTAATATCCAATATTATTTAATATAACTAGAACAATATATATTTGATATACAATATATATTTAATATACAATATATATTTGATATACAGTATATATTCGATATACAAAACTGGAATAGTATATATTTGATATACAGTATATATATAGTATATATTCGATATACAAGTCGGGAATAGAATATATTTGATATACAATATATTTTTAATATACAATGTATATATTTGATATACAATATATATTCGATATACAAGTGGATAATGTTCCAGTAATAACCTAAATGGTCTATAGTACATGGATAAGATTGGGTACCTTATCCTGGTAATACTATGGATACGGCCCGCTTTGTAATAGTTACAAACGACTTTATCCATTGTCATACATGTAGAGACATGTGAGTGTGGGTATTTTATACAATGTGTTTGTATAAGACCGAACCGTGAAATAATTAATCATTGGCTCTAACACCGTTAGTCAATAGATTGTTATCTCATAGGATGACCAGGTAACTCGATCTTAATCTTAAGCGAGTTATGGACTCTTGCCTATAAGGGATCGTCCTTTGATTTGTATGGGTGAGAGTGGCTCGGGTTGGCACTCAATAATCCTACCAAGTGGGGAGCTGTGAACATAACTACGCAAGATAAAATTCACTCATTCCCAACTTTAAGGAAGTAGATGAGTGTTCTCTTACATGCTGACTCCKGGACTTGAACAAGGGGCCCCACCCTCTCACTAGCCCGAGAAGGACTTCCGGTTATTGGTTGGACCATAACCAGGTTGTTCATTAAATGAGTARTAGTATTTAAGGAGTAAGATGTAACTCAGGGGAACRATAATTTGACCCAGCTAAAGTTACGAGCAGTCATGAAGGATTGATTTGCCGTTAATGGTCGTACATTCGTGGACACGACAATATTCTGCAGTGAGAAGAGTGCAGCTGCGGGTCTTTAGTGGAGTGATGCGTAGTTAACGAATGTTGATTACCTCGGTTAATGAGTTTGACTGATTAATCTCGTATCATTAGAGCTTATGATCTGTAGGTCCATTAGGTCCCCTTGCTATCTCACAACCGGTAAAATGAGGACCAGGAATGTATATAATGTATATTGATATATTATATAAATATATGTTAACTTTTTATAAAGATTCAAAATTAATACTATGTATTTTGAGAGTGGGGGCTAATGTTGTGGATGAGAAAAATCTTCATTTTCTACCTTTAGGAATTCAAAATAAGATATCCTGATGGTCTTTGGATTTCTCCTAGGAGAAGATATCCCGATGGTCTTGGGATTTCCCCTAGGAGAAGATATCCTATATCCAAAAGGATAAGATATCCTATATCTAAAAGGATAAGATATACTGATGATCTTGGAATTCCCCCTAGATTCAGGAGAAGATATCCTATATCCAAAAGGATAAGATATTTTGATGGTTTTAGAATTTCCCTTCTATAAATATAATAGTAAGCTGAACCCTAAAGGGACGCAAAAAAAAAAAAAAAACTCTTAACTCTCTTATTCTCGACCGAGAGACCTAGCGAGGAAAATCAAGTGGTGTTGTCTTATTGGGTTTACATGAAGAAGAGTYTTCAAAGGTAAAATCCAACATTTTTCCCTGTTTTCTATTTTTCTTTGTTTTAAATTTCAAACGAAATTCAAGAACGCGTCCTACTGCTTCCACTCCGGGATTCACATTCCTTCAATGTTGATTCCATAAAATCCACTTCGGGGTATCTGATTACTTTTGCAGGGRTAGTTGTATCATGACAATCCAAGTTATAAAAGTGTGTTGCTCTTTCAACTACAGAAGCTGAGTTTATAGCGACAACCGAAGCTTGCAAAGAAATACTTTGGGTGAAATTTTTTTTGCAAGAGTTTGGCATTAAACAAAAAAGATATGTGTTATACTGCGATAGTCAAAGTGTTATTCATTTAAGCAAGAATTCAACTTTCCACCCGAAGTCCAAGCATATTGATGTTAGGTATCATTGGATTCAAGACATGTTGAATGAAAAGTTGTTATAGATCAAAAGGTAAGGTACACACAGATGATAGTGGTGCAGATATGATGACAATGACTTTACCTAGAGGAATGCATGAAGCATGCAGACTGATAACAGGTATGGTTGACCCATCTGCATAGTCGGGAGGGGGAGTTTTTTGGGTCCCGACATACAAAAAAGGCCAAAAACTTGGAATTGGTGTGCAAACTTTATATGTATGGTGTGGTGTGTGTCACTGGGTCTCAACTGAAGGAAAAAAAAAGAATTATGCTCCCTTGTGTGTGCGCAACGAAGAAGATAACAAAGAGAAATGAGACTTTTATTGTTGGAGAAAATTCGTGGAAGAGTTGAAGAAGAAGAAAACATTGTTTTCTTTACCGGTTCGTGTTGAATCAGTTTGTTCCCCCTTTCGTTTGGGTTTCTTCGTGTCGTCTTAGCCGGTGAGACCTCTCTTCGCTTGTTTGTTATTCCATATTTGGTAGATGAAGGGTATTTTGTGGATCGATTGTTAGTCAGGCTCTCGTTTGATGTATTTCGTTGTATCGTCTAATTGCAACTAGGGAAGAAACTTTGTGTAACCCATTATATTTTATAGTGGATGATTTTCGGAGTTGTCCCGTAGATTTCCCCTTACATTGAGGGGTTTTCCATGTAAATCTTGGTGTTTCTATTTTTATCTTATATGCTTGTGATTTTATTTCTTGCATAAAGCTATCGACTATGCATTAAAAGTCCCAACAGTGTGGAACATTTTTAAAACACATCTCATACAATTCTCAATAGAGAAATTTTGTATTTGCTCTGTAATCTCTTATTCTCATCTCTCAGTATTTTCTTTTGCTCTTAGTTTTATAAAATAAATATCTTTTTGAAGCACCCAAAATTTAAAAAATTTTAACTCTCAAGCTCAATAAATTAAAAAGTAGATGGAGTCTCGAGTTCTTAACCATTCAAATATCAATTACCCAACATGTACTAAAAAAATATCAATTAAATTTATTTTCGTTCCAAATTTCATATGCTTGAAAGTTTGTGCAAATGGGGAATTTTTACATGATCTTGTTTACCTAAACAAATTATCGTCCATTAAAAATGTAATGAAAACTTTGGTTTATAATTAAAATCTAAAGAGTATATTTGAAGTTACATATTTAAAAACTTTGAAGGTCATCCACGTGATCCTTCAGAACTTCAATTATAATCRATTTATTGCCCTTGTAAAGGCTAGTAACTTAGCATTAAATGAATCAAACACTATGAAACTTTTACTTGAGCGCCAATAATGATTTTTTGTTTTGGAAAAACTWAACTTTATAAGAGCCACTTATAAGTTTTCACATGCTTAGTATTAGTTTAATATTATTTTTTATGAAAGAAGTTTAGCCAAATTAGAAATAATATTGAACAATTTATTAAAAACATTTTTGAGTTTTCAAAATATGAATGTAAAATTTTTTAAATTATTTTTGGAAGTATATCGGTAGTTGAAAAATATGAGTAAAAAAACACGTGCTTTCAAAACAAAAGGGATGAAACCCTTTTACAACAAAATCTTATCCACTAAATTCCCAGGTTGGAATTAAAAAATAATTACTAGATTTTTACAAATTTTAAACTCAAAAATTAAATTGATTTATATTAAAAAACTAAATCATTACTCTTTTTAATTTGTTTTTCAATCACACTCCAATTTGTTACCACTTTAATGGTACACAACGACATGAATATAGCTCAATTGATCAAATATAACTTCTCTTTGAGTAAGTTAAAATCTCCCCCGAAACAAAAAAATTTAAAAATACTTGACTAAGGACTCAATTTTGTCTTCATCGCCATTCAAAAATTGATAAATAATTTTTTTTTAATTTTTGTTTTTGCATTTCTCTATCTTAGCTGTAAAACATGGTGGTGACGATAAAATTGTTCTTTATCTATCGATAATGACTCAAGTATATATATATAATTTTTTAAAGATTGGGCTGTACACAATAATTTCAAACAGAGAGTATGAAATGAGATCTTCCTAACATGTTTAGATATTTCTCCTTAATTAACATAACAGTTTGAAGTTGACAGAAAATGCCTTCTTAAGTGCAACCTCATATATTAGCGTTAGTTTTGAATATTTATGGGTGCAAAATTTATACGAAACCACAGCAAAACCAATTAGTCAACCCACAACAACAAAAAAGACGACCCCAACCCCACTGAATTCACCTCAAAATATATATATATATAACTTTTTATAATTTGAGAGTTGTTCAGCTTATTACCTTTTTTACTTAGGCAGTGTGACTTGAACTTAATTCACGAAAACGGTCGAAGCAACTCAATGCAATCCAATTTAAATAAGTTATAATCTAATTCAAATTGTACGAGTTGGGTTGGGTTGATCGGTTTTTTAACACTCCTATCTAGAATTGAGGCACTTATCCTCGTCCAAAAACCCAGACCTATGATAGGTAATACTACACAATATACAATATCCGATGCAGTTGCGAATAAACTCTCAAAAGACTTTGCCTCGAAATAATTCAACCATAAGTTGTTCCAAAATCTAATTTTAGTTCAAACATAATTGCACCAGTGATGTTGGATTAGAACTGAATTTCTTTTACATTCCTACAAACAATGGAAGTCTGTGAAACATTTTTTAAATCTTACACCATTCTCCAAGTGATTTGACATGATTAAAGCAGAGAATAGATTTGGTTCCCAATATTGAAGAAAAGTTGACAAGCAAGAGAGAGGAGAGACCTATTTGGATTGGAATTGGAATCTCAAAGTTCACCCATAATTTCTTCCACTTTCTACTGCTGAGTGCTTTACTAGATTCAGCACTCTCTCTTCTTTCTTTCCACCAATCTCGCCTCCATTCCCCACTTCCCTTCTCTCTCCTTTTACTTTCTTCTTCTTCTTCCCCATGTCTCAATTCTGAATTCTCTCCACTTCCCAAGCACCCATCACACAAATATGACCTTCTTTCTCCTCTCTCTCTTCTTCCTCTTTATCCCCTCTTCCATTTCTGCTCCTTATCCCTTCAGTAAGCTCCATTTCATTGCTTTTTCTCCACTGTTTCAGCTTCTTCTCCAGCTCCCACTGACTCTGATTGATTTGGTTTTGTTTTCACTTTTCAGGCATCTCTTACCACATAGATTGCGGCGGCCTTAGCAACTCCACCGACCCATTTGGCACCACGTGGCTCTCCGACCGTTTCTACACCGGCGGCACCGCCGCTATTGTCTCGGAGCCGCTCATCTTCCGGCACCCACAAGAGAAGAATCTCAGATTCTTCTCTCTTTCCTCCGGCAAGAAGAACTGCTACATTATACCTAATTTACCCAATGGCCGATACTACTTCCGCACATTCACTGTGTACGACAATTACGATGGTAAGTCTCACCCTCCATCCTTCGACGCCTCCATTGAGGGCACCCTCGTCTTCAGCTGGCGGTCCCCTTGGTCCGAGGACTTCGCTCGCCATGGCGCTTACTCCGATCTCTTCGCCTTCGTTCGAGACGGGGAGGCTGATTTTTGCTTCTACAGCCTCGCCACCGATTCGCCGGTTATTGGGTCATTTCAGCTTGTTCAGGTCGATCCCATGTCGTATAACTCGACCGCCATTGGAGACAATTTCATTCTTGTTAACTACGGGAGGTTTACTTGCGGTTCTGAGCAATGGGGCCCTGGGTTCAGCAATGATACAGACCTTTTCGGCCGCTCGTGGCAGCCTGATTCGGCATTCATAAAGCCCAGTTTGAAACAATCGGTCAGGGTTTTATCGACGACAAACTCGGTAAGTGGGGCCGAGCAGCAGCCGAATTATTTTCCGGTGAAATTGTATCAGAAGGCAGTGACAATTGGGGGAAATGGCGTACTTGAGTACGAATTGCCGGTGGACGCCAAATTGGACTACTTGGTTTGGTTGCATTTTGCGGAGATTGATTCGAGCGTGAAGAAGGCAGGGCAGAGAATGTTCGATGTGTTCATTAATGGCAATAATGCGACGAGGGTGGATATCTTCGCGAAGGTGGGAAGCTTCGCAGCCTATTCATGGTCTTATACAGTGAAGAATTTGAGTAGCTTGTCATTGACTGTGAAGCTTGTGGGGGTGGTTGGCTCGCCGCTACTCAGTGGGCTCGAGAATTACGCGTTAGTTCCTAGAGATCTTTCCACTGTGCCAGATCAAGGTATGTATGTGCGTCTCATTAGTCATAAGACCATTCATTATATGCTTCAATTTTGGGCTATTGGTTTTTGTTGTTTTCATGGATTTGTAAAGGAATCTTTTCTCCTGTGGGATGGATTTGTAAATGACCTCTTTCAGTGGAGAACTTATGAGCATGTTTTTTTTTTGTTATTTGTTATGAAGTTTAGTAAGAAGTTAAACTGTGGGCCTTTTGGTATTTCTTTAGGATTGGATTTGGGAAATCTTTTAGCACATGAGAAATCTTTGTTAAGTTCCATCCCATTTACTTCGATATTTTACCACAAAACGATTGAACAAACAGTGAAACGTTGGTTGTGTGCAAAACAGAACTGTTTAAGTCAAATGGGAATTGGGCATGATGTTACTTAGATTGGAAAGTATATCGAACAGAACTTGAATATGAACACTGACAAATCCTTTTGAAGGGAATCCTTAACAATTTTAGACACACATTTATTTTTGGATGATTGTAGTGTTTGCAATGAGAGCATTGAAAGAGTCACTCCGTGTGCCCGGTAGAATGGGTTGGAATGGCGATCCTTGTGCTCCTACAAACTGGGATGCTTGGGAGGGAATTACATGTCGTCCCAACAAGAATGGAACCGCCCTCGTTATATTTCAAATGTAAGCATCATTCAAAAATCTTAATAAAGTATCTATTTCTTTATTAGCAAGTGTCTCAATGCACTCAAGATCTTGAAGGTTGAATTTTAGTGTTCCAGTAAGAAACATAGCATTTTCATTAAAATGAAAAAAAAAATAAAGAAAAAACTTGAAGTGGTAAAATGCAAATGAACTGAACATAGTGAAAGTATATTATTTGGTGAATTTCTGTGTTGACTGAACAGTTCTCGAGAGATCACCTTATAATTGGATTCTATCCAGTTGAGGAAAAGTAGGAAAGCATCTTTCAATGCAAAAAATTTCAGTTTTTCAAATTCTTTTTTTTTTGGTGAAAGAAACAATTTTATTGACTTATGAAATTAAAAAATTACAAAAGCCCTAGGATTACATAAAAGACTTCCAATTAGCTAAAAGGGAAGTATTTCACATTCTTAAAAGGGCAGTACCAAACCCATTCTTGAAACTAATGGTACTTCAAGCCCATTGTTTCATTTTTGCAAGTCTTTGTCCGTCCTCCGAAAGGAAGAGGTTGTTGATTTCTGTCCCTCATTCAATGATTTATCTTCATGCCATAAGATTTTCATTTTTAAATCATTTATCATTTCAGCGATCTTGGAAGTCAAGGGCTGAAAGGGTATATCAGCGACAAAATTACTCTTTTGACAAACTTGGTAAGCCTGTAAGTATCAATTCTTCTTCTTCTTTTTCTATAATACCACCTAACAATTGTTTTTCCCTTTTTAGTTCATTGACATTATACACTAAAATTTGACATGGTAGAATAAGAAATTCATCACCAGGTGGTTTATGATTCAGTTGATATTTAAGTTTCTCTCCTACAGGAGATTAAGTTTATATAAATATCCATTATGGGTGATCCCTTGCGTATTAATGCTACATCGTTATCCTAAATTTACCCTACTATCTGGTATTTGTTTCATAGTCCTCATTTATATTTAATCTCACCTTTCAACTTAATTTACTGGGATGGAAAATTGTCTATAAATTTAGGGCTAAATGCAAGTCAGTTTTGACATCTGATTTAACCTGCTTGTTCTCACCTCACTTGTTCTTTTCCTGCCAAAATATATCTGATGAATCAGTCCTTGCATATAAGCTTTAGCCTTCTAACTGTTATTCTAATTTGTAATAATATATATATTCTTTTTCCAAATCTACAGAAATCTTAGTTCTAACTCGTTGGGGGGCACAATACCACCTGGGTTAGGTGAAAATTCTCTCACGCGGCTGTAAGTATGATTGTATTCTTTTACTCTTTTAGTTGTCGTTGTTTATCTTTACTTCAATTTTGATAATATATACCTGTCCAACGTTTTCTATTAAACCGTTTCTGAGATAAGTATTGTTTATTCTTTTGGTTTTGATATGCACACAGAAGCTGATATTACTGAACAAACTTAGACAACTCAATGATGAAATATAATCTTAATAGACTAGATTAAATTAGAGATATCGTTGCAAGATTGGATAGAACAAACCTAAATCCCCTTTAGTCCTTTTCCTTTTCTGTAATTAACTTTGTTTTGGTTTGTACTTTTTTCTCTTTTAACTCCCTTGGGAGTTTGTATCTTTGAATAATTGATTGAACTAGGCATATTTATCTTTAGGTGGGTTTTATCTTTACGCGGGTTTTGTTCTGTATGCCAAAAGGTTAGCAGAAATAACCTTTTATGAATAAGTTTTTTTTTTGTTGAGGCTAAATATATGTTTTAGACTTTTAGTCCCTAATACTTGGGTGGTTTTTCAACTTAACCCTTATTGTTGGTTTTCCATTTAAAAAAAATTAATTTCTCATGTGCTAAAACATTTAATACAATCCCTTATATTTTTCACATTTTTCAATTTATTCCTCATCGATAGTGAATGTTAAAATGAATTGATGATTCTCTTAAAAAGTAAAAAAATAAAAATAAAAAAATTTATTAAAAAATTAGCTGAAGATAAACTTGAGCTGATGATTCTCTTAAAAAATTAAAAAAAGAAAAGAAAAATGTTATTAAAAAATTTAGCTGGAGATAAACTTACATGACACAATACTTAGTAAATTGACTGAAATTTAAAGTATAAAAACATCATCATTCTCATACCAATTTCTTAGGAATTTGGAGGGATTAGAAACTTTCCTCCCTTATATGACCCTTTTCTTTCTTGAATTTTCCAAATTCATTAAGTATTATACCATGGAAGTTTATCATCAACCAATTTTAATATTTACCAATAATGAGGGATTAAATTGAAAAATGTTAAAACTTAAGGGGCTAAATTGAAACTTTTTATATAATAGGAACTAAATTTAAAAACCACCTAAACGTTAGGGACTAAAACATATATTTAGTCTTTTGATAATTTTATTGGTTTCGAAGTTCGAATCATCAATTTAACATTGCAAGGATTCAAAATACCTTTGTCCTATCATAATTCATACATACCTGTGAAACTACAATTGTATTTTAGCTGGGTCTAATTTCCTAGTACTTCTAATGAGCATTGATGTTGAACTTCCATATGGCAATAAATCATCATCTATCGAGGATTTTATTTTCTACTATTCGTTTCCCCCATATACACGTAAAATTCTCCATTTGATAAGAGTTTCCTGGTTATAAATTGACTAAAATATTTGTTTCCATCCATTTTGTCAGAGTTGTTTGCATTGACAGCGTCTGATCTGATGTGGTTCATGTGCAATAAATAATAATCTTTCATATATATAGAACTTCATTTTCTCCTCAGAAAATATATACTTTGAGGGCTAATCGATTATCTTCTTCACATTATAAGAACTGGTAACCAAATGATTTGGACTTCATGGTAACATTTGCCGATGTTATTATTTATCCTATAGAATTTGTCTGACTGTGCAGGGATTTGTCAAATAATCAGTTAACAGGACCCATACCGGATAGTTTAGCATCTCGAAATCTGCAGCGTGTGTAAGTATTCAGTTCACCCTCTTGCCAATATACATTGTTAAAGCTCTAGTAGGTACTTCCTCTTTTACTTTTTCTGATACATCAGTTATCTCCCTCAAATAATGGAAGGGCGTTTTTAAAAAAATGTTTTAACTTTACTATGTGATTTTTAATACGCATCTTAGGGGACATTTCCATACATGATCTTCAAGGTGTTCTTGATTTGGTTTGGTTTATCACTTCTCTTAGTACCTCTCTGTCTCGCCAGGCTATTAAATGACAACTTATTGGAAGGACGGGTGCCTGAAGAAATTTACTCCATTGGTGTGCATGGTGGAGCCATTGAGTATGTAAAGTTAAATTTATATATTTCGAAGTGCTCATTCATTGTCTTCTACCTTTTTGTTGATATTTTAAATATTATACATTCTTGTATATTTATTCCTTAGTCATGGCTGCTAGTTTTTCGTTGAAAGCATCGTTTCTAGGGGGAAAAAAATAATTTTGTGGTTCTTATTTTTTAAGTTTTCCACGTTCCATTTACAAAAGAAACATAATGCTTTGAGATGAAGTGGGAAGTCACTAAGCACGTAGCTGATGATTTTCCTTTTCTTCTTCAACCATAGAGCTGAAAGCAACCCTTTTATTATGTACTTTTGTCATAAATTATAGCACGAGGAGTTGTTTTCATTCTTCTCAATGAAAAGTTCGGTTTCTTATAAAAAAAAAAATTATAGTACGAGGAGAATGTAACGTATCTAGCACATGGTAAATTACACAAGGAGAATTCATCAACTTTTGTGATAAATTACACAAGGAGAATGTGTAATGTATCTAGCACATAATGTTATCAGTATAAATTATAGCACATAATATATTTTAGCAAAAAAAAAAAAAACCAAAAGAAAATCTCACCTTCAAGATTTTCACTTGTTAAGAGCTTAAAGAAGAAAGGAAGCAAAAATTGGTTGGAAAGCGAGACAAGATCGCAGAAAAATGACTTACAAACCTCACAGGCTCGAACACTCATGGATATAGGAAAAAAAAAAAGAATAAACACATGAAGATTCAAGAGTCCAAACTCTTCCATCTCTAAGACCCTAAGATCCATAGAAACTGATGCAATGTGGCCAACAAGGAAGCTAATTCAGAGGATTCTACTATCAGAGAAAGCCTTCCTAGAACGGAAGTTGAAAAGGAGACACCCCAGATGGTTAGAAGAAGGAAATTATTCAGGAAGAAAGATTATAAAGACATGGAAGGTGATACTAAAGAGATGCATTACCATTCACTCATCTTCCCTAAAAACGAATAGTGGTCCTGTCCATAATGGAAAGCTTGGACAGCTTAATGTAGGACAGAAAACACTAAACACAATCAAAACCTTTCGAAGGGTTCTTGAAAATGCTATTCTCACCTTGTTACAATCTCAATTGTTAGCGTGTCCATACTTGCGCACAATGATCTTATGGCATTAGGCATGAGGCTCTAAGGAAAAACGCCACCATCATTTGGACAAAAGGGCATAATTTTTGGTACCTAATATCCCAAGCCCTAGGTCACCATACCCAAACATTTCATAATCGACTCTCACTTAATGATAGCTAAGTTCCCATGGATTGACCTAGTGATCAATTTTTTTCTTTTTTTTGAAACGAAATGATTTCATTGATAGAATGAAGTAGGGAGAGAAGATTACAAAAAAGGGGAGAAAACCCATAAATAGGTTAAAAAAAGCTCTCCAATTAGAGATGAAGAAGCAAAACTATAATGATGAAAGAGAGGAGCATTTACACCAAGTAATAACATTTTTTTTGGATAAGAAACAAAGATGTATATGATCAAATAAAGAATCCAAAAAACGGGGAGACAAACAAAAGGCGGAGGGTGGAGAGAACCCTCCCCTCAAGACTATCTAATTATAGCTTTCCAATCTTGCATAATCAAAAACTATGGAGAGAAGATTACAAAAAAGTGGAGAGAACCCATAAATGGGTTACAGAAAAGCTCTCCAATTAGAGATCAAAGAAGCAAGACTATAATGATGAAAGAGAGGAGAGCATTTACAACAAGTAATAACCAAAAAGGCTATGGATTCTAAAGTGTTATGAAGAGAGCATTCCTTAGCTTGAAAAATCCTCTGATTTCGTTCTGTACATATAGTCTATAGAAGAGCCCATATAAAATGTTGCCAAATGCATCCTTTCTCATTCTTGAAAGGATGGCCAATAAAGGTAGATGTCAAAAGCAGGGCATATCTGTAGGGAGAGCGACTGACCAGCCAAAGAGGGGAAGGATTTTGTTCCATGAACTTGTGGAGAATTTGCAAGAGACGAATACATGCCCTATTGATTCACTGTGCTGCTTGCAAAGAGTACACCAGTGAGGAGAAAGGTTCATGTAAGGCATCCTCGTTTGGATCTTGTCTTGAGTATTTAATGCATGAAGTCTGGTTTCCCAGAGAAAGAATTTGATCTTCTTGGGGAAATTATCTCTCCAAATGGCACCATACAAGTCCGTAGCAGGGTTAATCAATTGTTAGATCAATTGAGGTGCATTCAAGCTAGCTCAAACATTCACATATATACAAGAATGAAAAAAAGAGAGAACCAAGCCAAGCTCTTCCCCTTCTTCTTCCCGTTCCATAAGGAATCCCCCATGATTTTCTCTAATTTAGTACAAATGGTAGAATGAGCTTTAAAAATAGAAATGGAGAGTGAAATCCCACTTAAAACAAATTGAATCTAGATTAGTCTGCCACCATTGGAAAAACACATTTTCTTATAGCATGAAAGGCATTTAAGCACTTTTCACCAATGAGATCCAGTTCTCTAGGATTATGTCCCACGCTTACCGAGCTTAATAGAATTACAATTTTTTTTTTTTAACAAGATACGAACTTTTCATTGATGAAATGAAAAGGAGCAAAAAATTGTTCAAGGAAACAAACGCTCGAGAGAGTGAAAATATAAAATAAAAAAGAAAGCATAAAATACAAGGGAAATAAAGAAGCTGGAAACAAAAACTACTCTTGCCTAATAAAATCATCCCAATTGTTACAAATAAGAGAAAGGGAATAATGGGAAAATGAATCAGCAAAAGAACACCGATGGGAGACCTTGAACTTGGCTGAAGAGAGACAATCGATCAAAGATCTTCGTTTGCCCTTGAAAATCTGCATGTTCCTTTCAAACTATAATTCCGAAAGAAAGCTCTTTACAATGTTGATCCATAAAAACCGAGCCGTAGAGGATAGGTGTGAAGATCCGGAGAGTATTTGAACCAAATTGGCTTCAACCTAAAAGTCAAAAACCCAATCGACTTTGAACTGACCAAACAAAGAATACCATCCTTGATTCCCGAAAGAACAGTGAAAGAAAAGATGATCGCTTCCCAACTAGACTCACCCAAGAAAACACATTAACTTTTCTTGGACTTTTAGATTTCCATAAGGCAGCAAACAAATTGTTAGGCATTGAAGATGATGTATTCAATTTGCTCAAAGAACTTACTGTAAACACGCCGGAAGGATTGATAGACCATATTCTTTGGTCCTCACCATTTGTAATTGAAATTGAACCAAGCTCATTCAAAAGGCCAGCAAAATCCTGTAACTCATCATCCTTTAAAGATCTTCTTAACACAATATCCCAAGAATCTGTGGCTGTGTCCCAAAAATTCAAAACAGACCCATCTGGAAGGAGGGAAAGGTTGAACAGCTTTGAGAAACTATCCTTTAATGGACTTTGAGAAGTCCAAAGAAAATGCCAAAGGGAAACTTTACTGTCGCAACCAATATTAAAAGATACAAATACCTCAACACGCCTCCACTGTTTAGAAACGCATTTCCACGGACAACGAGAACCACCAACCAACCTTGAATCCGTAAACCAACCATGAAGCTCAGCACCGTAAATGCTTTCCACCACCTGCCGACATAGAGACATAGGCTCACAGGCAAAACACCAACCCCATTTAGCTACAAGAGCACCATTCCTTCTTGAAAGACCACCAACACCTACTCGCCGTCTTCCAGAAAAAGAGAGGTAGTTTTCCAATTGACCAAATGCTTCAATTGCCCCATGGAATTACCTTCCCATAAAGAATCCCTCTTAGATTTCTCAAGCTACTTAATAATATCTGATGGCATATGAAAGAGGGACATACAATAGGTTGGAAGATTAGCCCAAGCAGAATTACACAAAGTCATTCTACCTCCACGAGAAAGATTAAATTGCTTCCATCCATCCAACTTTTTACCAACCTTTTCAATAACCGGCTGCCAAAAATCATAATTCCTTGGATTGTTCCCCAAGGGGAAACCAAGATACATAACTGGAAAAGATGCCACTTGACATTTTAACAAAGAAGCAATCTGGTGGACTCGATGGCTTGGAATATTCACCCCACTTAAAAGGTGATTTGTCCCAATTGACGAAAAGACCCGAAAGCCATTCAGAAGCTTTGATAGTTCTGATTAGATTAAGAATCATAGCATTGTCGTCCTTACAAAACACCAACGTATCATCAGCAAACTAAAAGTGAGAAAGATGAAAAGCCTGGCAACCCACCTAGAATCCTTCAAAAGATCCACAAGCATGAATACTATCCAACAAACTGCTGAAGATGCCACTTACTAAAAGAAAAAGGAAAGGAGAGAGAGGATCACCTTGCCTTAATCCTTTAGAAGCTACAATACTGCCTCTTGGCTGCCCAATAATAAAATAGAAAATTTTGTGTCTTGCACACAACCGTTAATCCAGGAAACCCATATTTTTCCAAACTCCTTTTGGAAAAGAACATCTTCAAGGAATTTCCAATCGACTTTATCGAAGGCCTTTTCTAAATCAAGCTTTAGCAGCCATCCGCTCTTTTTTCTGGATTTGTAATCTTCAACCGCCTCATTAGCAATCAAAATAGAATCTAAAATGTTTCGACCTTCTATGAAGGCACTTTAGTACCAGCCATGGAACAATAATCTTTACTGTCTGAATCCATGAAACAACTCCTCATATGGATATTAAGAACCTGTCCAATCTAAAAACCTCATTGGAGTGTAGGTAGCCTGACGTGAAACTCCCATTTACCCAAGGGGGAGGATCCAACAAGCTGCACTCATCAATGAAAGTATTGTGAGTCTTCTTAGATCTAGTGAATTTGGCACCATTGGACTCTTGGAGGGTTAATTTGTCACATTAAAATTCTGAACTAAACATCAACTATGATTGCACAGGCCAAATATCCCTCCTCGCTTCTCCCAAAAACAAACCCTCTCTCTTTACCTAGAGGGACCATAAACACCCATAACCTCACCCGACTGAGTATTCTTATTACAAAATTGAACGGATAGAATACACGAACCATGAACCACTTCCAGTCTAGAAAGATCAATAGTTCCATGAAATTAAGATGCCTCCAAAGACGACCCTATTAAATCTAGAGATTCCCACTTTAATAAACAACCTTTTCAAATACTATAATTAAGATCTCAGGAAACCTAGATTGTTTTGTGGATCACTGAGTCAGGTTTTGGGAGACAAAATGTCCCTAACAAGCCTCTAATTTGACTTTCCTTTCTTAGACCGCATAATTCTGGACTTGACCTATGATAATTGTTAGATAATGAATTATGAATATAAGATAAAACAAATATTGTGATAATTGCTAGATGAATGCTAGTGAACTTGAATTAAGTGTGTTAACTTTGAGTTTATATTTCCCAAACCCATGGTTTGTTATGATTAAATCTCCTTCCAACAGGTATTGGTCGATTTAATTGTTTCATACTGAAACTGCTAAACCAGAAGTTTTGATTTTAATTAATTCTATGTTTTTCTTTTCCTAATATCTATAGGCAGGGAATCTATGCTGCGCAAGTAGGATAAGAACTACTCACTTGTATTGACTTTTGGTTTTAGCATCATTTCTTAATTTACTTTTAATCCTAGCATGTGGTTTGATTTGAATCACACCTAAAAAAATATAGGTGGATTAAGTTCCGGTGGAAAATTCTACAAAACATAGACATCGTTTTATTTGTATGAGTATCTCAGTAGACTTTAATGTATGACCCAGTATATTCGTCTCATATTTCAAAACATTCCCTTAAGTCCTAACATTTAATTCATGAGTAAATCTGATTCCCTTAGTATCTAGGAGAACCCAGAAACAAGTGACCCCTTAGATGTTGCACTCATCTTTGAAATCTACATTTATTTCTTTACAATTTTTCTCTAATTATTGCTGCAAAATTTAAAGAATGTAAGATGGCTTTATTCATCAAGAATCTTGTGACTTGGCTGAATGTGATATTGAGTGCATTGATTGTAGCTTGTCAGCAATCCTCAACTTGCAATGGGCATTGTAATCTTGTATTAACTATTACCTCCTAATTTTCTGTTCTGTGTTTTAACTTGTTTGTTTTTATTTTTATTCAGTCTCTCCCGTAACAAGGGTTTGTGTGGTGTGCCCTCCCTACCAACATGCCCTATATTTTGGGAAAATGGAAGGCTGTCTAAAACTGGTAAAATTGCAATAGGTGTATCATCCACGTTTGTCTTCTGTGTACTGCTGGCAGTGATCTACATATGCTGCATCAGGAGACGTAGAAATGATTATGATTTTGGCTTGCCGTCTGAATTAATGTGTAAGTATTAGGTTGAAAGACCTTTGATTTCTCCCTCATTTTTATTTACCCCCATCCAAAGCTATCCTGCATTTATATTAATCATGTGATTACTTTAAGCTTTTACATGGAAGCAATTGTTGCTTCGATTCGTTTTTATCCATTATGTTTGTCTTGTTACCTTAGTATTTTTCTTCAAATGTTACAAAAGAGAAACTAAGGTAAAAATGTGCAGTTTACCTGTAAAAAATTAAGCATGAGCTTCTACTGGATTGTATTTCTCTTGCTAGTTGGGTCATAAAAAACTAGCAGGATACGGTTTGGATTCTGATGGCCATCAAGTTATTGTATATCTGAGGGGAAGGGGAAGAATAGGGCATAAGGAGCAGTCAGATTGTCCTGACTCAAACTTTTGGAAGTTTTGGTGTGAAGACATGATTGCTAAATAATAAAAGTGGGGCTCATGAGTATTTTCATGCTCTGGTTACTAGAGTCTGGGGCTGTGAGTATTGGGGTGGCTGGAGATGAAGGTATGGAAGAGAATATTCTTCAGGTGTAGGGTAGAGGTATTGGAATATCAATTTAATTAAGGAGGTAGCGAAGTAATTAGAGAAATGGGTGGAAATAATGAAATCCCAATTCCCAAGTGGGTTAAATATTGAATAAACATAGAATACTTCTCACTTGGGCAGAAGGATTGATGAAAGGTAATTTGATAGCAGGCTGGTCATTAGAAATTGTAGTGAAAAAATTTATTGTGCAACACAAAGAGGAGTTGAGCTACAACTGCGACGTTGGGAGATGGAAGGTTTTAAAAAAATGAAGACAAATTGTTGAATAAGTTGATTTGAAAGTGACAACATCTAGGAGTTTCTTGTTCTTGTTTTGTACGTACTCATTATGTTTAGTATACTTGATTTTGGGAGGGAGTGAGAGAGGGAATCGTTGCGTAATAATGAGTGGGGACTAAGGGTTTGTTATTTTCAAGCAATTGTACCTGCCGACTTCAGCATATAGAGTGGGGAAGAGAAAAGAAGGTAAGGAAGAATCCAATGAGAACTGTGTAAGAGAGCTGGGAGGCATTTTTTATGCATTATTTCATGCTGGGGCTGATAAGTTTTTCTTTAGAGGCTCCTATATGCATATTCTAAGTTCTAATTGAGACTTTTCTTGGTTTACAATTACGCTCTCGAGATGAGCACTTTATTTATTTGTTTGTTTTCGTTATTTATGTTACGCAACGAATCATTTGCTTGGATTCTCTGCTAATGTATGTACTATGCCTTCTGATAACTCTTTCCAGCCCTTGCTGCAAAAAGGAACAGGTATCAAAGGCAGAAATCCTTAATGCTCCTGGAAATGGAGAGCCAACATGCCAAGGGACTATCACCTTTCACTCCTCTCAACTGAGTTTTGCTGCCAAAACAGGAAATAATCCCTCGAGAGAGTTTTGAAACCGAAACAGACCTTTAGAGTGCTAACTTAAATACAACTACCGTACAGGATGTTCGAACATAATAGGATTAGTTTTGCTGCTTAAGATGAGACCGAACGATCTGGCTTTCATGAGAGCTTCAGTCAAGAATCTGAACAAGCAAAATAGATCACAAAGAGCAATTACTTCGCGATCGACAAAGTTTTCTTTGTAGAATTTGATATTATCTTGTAGAGCATTTGGTTGGTTAGATCATCATTCTATTTCTATGTAATGGGATGTCTTCATGACATGTGGTTCTGTTCCGAAGTGTATATACAGAGTGTTTTTGCTGAATGGCAATCAGTTTTATCACGAACGGTTGTTTCTGTCATTGAATTTCCAGGTAGCTGTTTTAGCATCTTTCAATTTTCTTAAGTTTTATTTTGTCTCTCTTCCTGTGATATTATTTTAAATAGTAGAAATACAGGAGCGGACTATGCTGCAAGATGATCAAGATGATCAATACATTGATAAAATTCTGAGTGGATTTTTTTTAGTTTTTTTTTTATTTGTTATAATAATTGGAAAGGCTGTGCCAAATAGACTTAATAGTTTTCATTGATATTTATTAGTTGTGCCTTCTTAATAAGTTGAGTCGATAATGTCCTGTTTCATTAATAAGAAATTAATTTGAAGTAAGTTTTTGATCTAACAAAAAGTAGATGGATGGATAATTCTAAAGTTTAACTACTAATAATATTAGGAAGGTCAAAACTCTTGGTGGATTTCAGAGATGTCCAACCAATTCACATTTGAATATTTGCCTCAAAAGTGGTGGGGAAAAAAAAAGGCTCTTTTCATTTTTTCTCTCTCTCATAAAAATTAAAATGATTATTTATTTAGTTAAACTTAGGAACATGGCCTAATCTGTCTTCCACATGCTTGCTGTTTCCTTTTGGCTCTTTCTTCTTCTTTCATTGAATATGATGCCTTCATCTTTGGTGTTTTCCCATAATTAAAATAAAAAAACATGGCTAATTTGTAGAGAGGAAGAGAGATCTTGTAGTTGAAATTTGAAGTTTTGAACTGCGCTAGGCTGTTGTGGGGATGGAATTTAGTCAAGAAGCCCATATATAAATTAATGAGAATAGTTAGCCCAATATCACTTCAATTATGATTTATAGTAAAAGTGCACATTTTTAGTCAAAAAATGAAGGAGAGATCATTTATAAATATTACAATATCAACATTTTTATCTCTAAAGCGAATACTTCATCCGAGTCAAATTTCTGGAAGCTTATTCTACGAAGATTTTGTCTGTCGTCTTCCAACCCGTGTTCATTTCTGAGCCACTCATTAACCACCTGTTAAAATCAACAAAGAAAAAATAATAATAATACAAACAAACAAAGACAAATAAAGTTTGTTTTAGATTCAATCTAATAAAAAAGCACAATTGGAGAAGAAAAATGTGTGAAAAGTCCAATTGAGAATCCAAGAAATGTGGGTGGCAAGAACTCAAATCAAAACACTTGATTGGATGGTGATGGAATTTAAAATTCTCCAATCCAAGATTTCCAACAAACTTTTCTTAAAAGAAAAGAAAAGAAAAGTTTTGGTTTGCAGGTTTCAGCATATTTGATAAAACTGTATTTATTAAGTATGACTTAAGTTTGTGTTTGTTTGTGCAGAAAATAAATTTGTTAAGTCTGTGTTTGGGTAAAAGAATACCCTGGACACGTGGAGGACCCCTATTGGTGTTCCAAGATGACTCATGAGTCATGCCCAGCTCGGACGGCCGAGATCACCACCACTAGCGTTGAGAGATACTAAGTATGAGGGCCGAGGTGAACCTGGCCGAGGTCCGACCTACCGGGAAGCTCGGTGGGGGCCAATGTGAGCTACTGTCAGCGGCGTGATTATCGGGTATAACCGTCGGTCCCG